CTGCTGAAGTCCCTCCCCTCTCCAAACTCCGCCCTCCTCAGGCTCCAAACCTCTAGGTATTTCCCAACCTGAAGCTGGCAACCCTACCAAGGAAATACAGACTGATAGAGATTTCACAATAATATTTTAATACATCATTAGTATAACTGGGGGAAGGGGAGAATGCTATGGCTGCACAACCCCCAGATTGCTTTAAATCTAGAAGTTGGCCAACGCTGCCCACAGATCGTGACCAGTAGTGACACTAATACCTCCGGGATGCCTTCTGTTTTAAGGACAACGGTTTACAGATTGATCCTGTCTAAGGACATTCAGGGCTTGAAGACAGTCAGCTTAGAAGAAATGAGATTTCAGGCTCATCTTCCCTAGACTGTGAAGGCACTGTGTTAGGCAAGAAGATTTATATTAATCTACACACATTTCAAAACTGGTTTTAAAGTTTCTGGCTCAGGAAGCGCCCAAAAATTGTCAACATAGGTCTGACCTTTGAAGCAAAAAAACACATTTTGTTTGTCACAGATGTAAGAGAATAGTCTACTGAAGACAGTTCAATTGCTATTTTTGTTTGCGTATTTATAGCTTGACCATCATGATACTCTTCCACATTTGGCTTTTGGTCAGATATTAAAATACCAGAGAGTTTACGTTCTCCTGTCTATGGTGACACAGGCACTATATGTGGGAAGATTAGAGTTTCTAAAATCCTTATTGACTTGGATGGATCTGAAACCAAATGGTTAGAGGATTAAAATCTAGGGTATTCTCAGAACTTTCATCATGGAAGGATGCCCTTTTCCCACACAGTATAGTACTGCAAACAGCTGAAGCCTATTACCTGGCTTTGGGCTGCTTCCTTTGGGTTGGATCCACAGGTGCCCCTTCTATAAGCAGAAGGGCACTTTAGAACCAGCCTATTGTTACTTCTAGACAGTTGTAAAAATACCTGGATACATGTCTTTCCTATGAAAGACACAGAGGGTATATTTTTAAAAATAAAGATGTAGTTTGTGCAACTAACTACGGTTTGTCCAGCTGACACAAATCCTAGTAGCTGTGCATAAATCCTGGTTGTGTGCTTCCTGCCTCCTTTCTGCTTTCCAGCCTGGCATAGTGGTTAGAATGCCAGATTAGGATCTGGAAGACGCAGGTTCAAACCCCCACTCTGCCATGAAAGCTTGCCGTGTGACTTTGACTCATTCCTGAGCTTGTCGGGTGACTTTGACTCACTGTTGAGCCTAACCTGCCTCACAGGGTTGTTTTTCAAAGGTAAATAGTGGGAGGAAGAACAATGATGTAAACAGTGACCCCCCCCCCAGGGGAGCGGAATGTGGTAGAAATATCTAAATATAATACAATTAATACACCACCGTAATACTCCAATCCCCTTCTGTTATATATGTATTAGCAAAAGGTCTACACAGTGATGGAAGTTCCAACTGATTCTACAGCACACATACACATACCAGATCCAGAACCTGATGTTGTCATGTCAAAAATCAGATCTTTGAGAGTTTTCCCAGGGTTCACCAGACTGCATTCTGACAGTGGTTCTTCAATGTTCAGCCTTTTTTCCTTCTTGAATCTACAATGGTGGCCTTGATATGTATACAAAGTCAGCAGGACAGCTACAGACAAGACACATACTGGTATGGTTATAATCACGGTCAGTTCCACCGGTCTCAGCATTGGTTTCCTTGAAGATTCTTCATCTTGGGGAGAAAAAAGCAGAACAAAATCAGCATGCAATCCACCATCTCTGGAAAAGTTTCAGTGGATTGGACCCAGCCAGCCTTTTCTCTCCATCTAGTCCAATTCCTCCTCCTTATTACAACCCCTGTCCGACATGGCTTTTGTCCAGACAGTTCCCATGACCCCCCGCATAGCCTTTTTGGTGGTCAAAGGGCATTCTCTCCTCCCTTATTCAATAGTGGCAAAGTGGGTTGGATCCAACCCAATGTTCATTTTCATGACAGTGACTGAAAGGATTTACAATATACATGAGAGGAATCCAATAAGGAACTGCAGAAGTAGGAAAATGCAATTTTCTTCCTTCCCTCTCCAATTGCTTGCACCCTATCCAATATCTTTTCCCACCATGCCCTTCTCCTCCTTGTTCTAACCATGACTACATTTCGAGATCTAGTGCTGGCTTTGGAGAAATCTAAATGACTTCCCCTGGCTGACAAATGTAGAATGTGGATTTGGCTATCTGTACAGCAGCCCTTCAGAAGTCGATACAGTGATTTCTCTGAACATAAACATTAAGCTAATTTCCATATCTTTTTGAGGAAGAACTTGATATCACTCTTTAGAATATTTCTCAAAAAGGTTAGATTTGAGTGCAGTAGCACCTTAGAGTCCAACAAGATTTCTGGGGTGTAAGCTTTTGAGAGTCAAAGCCCCTTTGTCAAATGCCCTCTTCATCATATTCCCCAAAAGTCTAAATGATAAAACTAAGCAGATCAGTGTTTGGTCAGTGGCTGGATGGCAGACCGATGGGGCCACCCAAAGCAGAACTGCACCCTTCTAAGTAAATTGAAGTCAAGGGGCTTAGAATACTGTTAACTCTTTTTAGGATCACTCTGCTAGGAACCTAAGTATGGTTCTATGATGGAAAAAAGGCAGGATATAAAATTTATTGTCTTTTAATCTCTTCTGCATAAAAATGGTAATGTCAAGATCTTGCATGCTTGCTGAGGAAGGAGAAGCAATATTGCATATGTGCATGCGTGAGAATGTGTTGGGGTGGTTAACTGGGTCAGCCTCTCAGGAGAGAGGAAGAAAGTACAAGGCTGAGTATGCTAAGGGGGGAGAAGACCTGCTACAAGTCTGGTTTCTGGACATGAAGGAGCCTGCTGTAAGAGGCAAATACAAATGTAAGGGTAGAAGTGGAAGAAAAGGGAAGTCTTTATTGCTTATTTTATACTAACCGCTGTGGTGGTGGGAAGTGCCGTCAAGTCGTAGCTGACTTATGGCAATCCCATAGTGCTTTCAAAGCAAGAGATGAACAGAGGTTGTGTGCCATTTCCTGCCTCTGTGTAGTAACCCTGGCCTTCCTTGGTGGTCTCCCATCCAAATACAAACCGGGCCAACCCTGCTTAGCTTCCAAGACTTGATGAGATCTGAAATCTGACAAGATGCCTAGCCTGCACCATCCAAATATAATCAGCATACAGAAATCAAATAGATAGTGGCCTGGCCTGGTCAAAACGGCTTATACTAGAAGCCTCTCTGAACACACTGCATGGATAAGGCAACCGTGTGGGAGGATCTTGTGCTTCAGCGCCTCCTATACCCATGTGACATCCAAGTGAGGCTGCTGTACTGTGGGCACTTCCCATGTGGCCTGGGGTCTTCTCATGCTTTGTCAGCAGCCTGGGAGAACTCATGTCCCCACAATGCTACCATGACTGAAGAAATGTAATGAGAGAAGATTCAGTAGTGGGAAGAAGCCAACGAGCAAGAGTTTAGGTGTGACCAGGTTAAAAATGACTGTCTTGAAAGACTACTGAACCCGAAGGACAGATCAATGGCAGTTCATCTCATCCTAGCTTTTCAATCCCTCTTTTTGGACAGGGTATATAGGTGAAATATACTCTGCTTTAATCAGATTGAAATTCATGCAAACAAACAAGCATTTTCTGTAGGGAAGATTTTATATAAGCACACACATGCACAGCAATGGTACCTGGGATGTTCTGTAAAAGGGCCAGAAAACCCTTGTTGTTGTTTTTTTAAAAAATATGATGACATCAGAATAAATACAAAGAACAAAGGTTATAGGTCAACTTCAATGGCAGAATACACAATGACAGAGTGAAACCTACTGCCCTAAATTTAGTGAATTGCTGTGACTTTGCAGCTAAACACTCAGCTTCTGTAAACAAATCCCTGAGTATATGGAACATCACCCTGTCGATAAGCCTATCACCAAGGCCCAATTGCTAGTGAGGGATCAAGTGCTTACCTATCTAAACATTCTACTTGTACCCTGTCACAGTTAATTGCAGATCAAGGTGGGCAGCCATGTTGGTCTGAAGCAACAGAGCAAAGTTAGAGTTCAGTGGCACCTTTAAGACCAACAAAGACTTTATCATTCATTGTCTGACGAAGCGTGCGTGCACACGAAAGCTCACACCCTGTATAAAACTTTGTTCGTCTTAAAGGTGCCACTGGACTCTAACTTTGTTCTACAGTTAATTGCACTTAATTTAGTCTCAGCCCATTTGCATCTGGCAAGCAAATGGTGGGCCAAGTGGATGTGCCATTAGCAAGCTCAGAAATGGGCCAGCACGTTGTATTCCAACATGATGGAGTATGTGTGGAATGCATGTGCTAGCAATTTCTTCCTGCTGTGACCAGCATCACATTCACACCCCCAAAATATCACAGCAACATGTATGCTGTCTCCCTGTTAGTGCCCCTCTCCTCCCAGTTGTCCAAAATTTAGGAATTTCAAAGGAGCATATAAAACTCTTTATTGCTCGCGCGTGCTCCGTCTACGTCCGGAACTACGGCAAGGACCCGGAGTGGATCACTGGCAGCTGAACCCCTGCACAGACTGTTGAATAAGCAGGCTCCCTGGACGTGGGGCCCGCACCAGGCCGCCGTGTTCAGGGGGTTAAAGCTCTCCTCATTTCAAACTCTGTCCTGGCCCACTTCGATGAGACATTACCAGTGGTCCTGGCGTGCGACGCGTTTCCATATGGCGTTGGCGCTGTGCTGGCACATCGCCTCCCGGACGGGAAAGAAGTGCCTGTGGCGTACTACTCGCGCACCCTGTCTGCAGCTGAACAAAACTACACACAGATCGACCACAAGGGGCTGGCGATAGTTGCCGGAGTGAAAAAATTTCAAGATTTTGTCTACGGCCGGCCTTTCACCATCGCCACCGATCACCGCCCACTCCTCGGCCTCTTCGCCGCGGATTGCCGGACGCCACAAGTCCTCTCCCTGCGGGTCTTGCAGTGGTCCATTTTCCTCTCAGGCTATAACTATACCCTGTAGCATCACCCGGGGAAGGCTATGGGACATGTCAACGCCCTCAGCTACCTTCCTTTGCCCGAGGTGGGCAACGATCCAGCCCCCACACATCACATTCTCTTGATCGAAGGTCTCCCCGATGCCCCTCTCCAGGCAGCGGACATTGCTCGCTGCTCAGCTCAGGACCCCATCATCTCCCGGGTTCTGGGTTCGGTGATGAGGGGGTGGCCTGCGGCTATGAAGGGGCCTGGGTGAAGCGTTGTGCAGCCTGCCAGGTGGTCCGGCCCAGCCACCGAGCACACCCTCCCAATCCTGGGAATCAACACGGACACCTTGGTCCCGGCTCCATATTGACTTCGCCGGGCCCTTTCATGTATTGTTATTCCTGGTGACCGTGGACTCCTACTCGAAGTGGCTGGAGATTAGCCCGGTTTCCGCCACCCCCTCCAAGGTGACCATACGAACCCTTCACCGAATTTTTGCCACGCACGGCCTGCCCAACACTGTTGTCTCAGACAATGGCACAGCATTCACATCAGAGGAATTTTAAGAGTTCCTCCACAGCAACTTGATCCGGTACATCAGATTGGCTCCCTTCCACCCCACAACGAATGGCCAAGTGGAACGCATGGTGCGTACCGCAAAGGAAGCCCTCAGCCGCTTGACGGAGGGGGACTGGGAGTTCTGCCTTGCCCTCTTCCTCCTGGCACAACGGACTACCCCCAACCCAGTAAGCGGCCGCAGCCCCGCGGAATTCCTCATGGGTTGGCAGCCCGCGATCCTTTTAGATTGCCTACACCCAGACCAGGCTCCAGAGTCGCAGACCCTGTCCGAGCTGCGGGAGGCACCACAGGGATTCTTCCCCAAAGATCCCGTCTACGTCCAGAACTACGGCAAGGGCCCGGAGTGGATCACCGGCAGGATCATCTGCCCCACGGGACCAGTGTCATATGAAGTCTCGACGGACTGCGGGCAGGTCCTACGAAGACATGTAGACCAGCTGAGGTAGCACCTGCTTCCGGAAGCAAGAGAGGTCCAGGTATCTGAAAGGGCAGCCGATGACGTTCCAGACCGGGAAATCCGCCAGGAACAGGAAACAGCCCACATCCCAGCAGCCGCTCCAGAGGTTAGCGCACCAGTACCTGCGAGGACACCAGAAGAGGCCCAAACACAACCACTGCCAGAAACGGGTGAGATGTTGGCACCTCACCCAAGGCCACCACAGCAAAATAGTTACGAGTCACCCGTGCCATCCCCAAGGCGGTCAACAAGGGAACTTCGGTCCCCCACATACCTGAAGGACTATGTGACATAGGCAGGGTTCGAACTATGGAGGGAGGGGTGTTATGTCCGCTGACCGCCACCAGGTGGCAGCGATATGTGTGCTAGCTTGAGTCCCAAGAACAATAGGGATTAGGCTCCTGAACTCTTCCTTCAGGGACCTATAGGACCTTTGGCAGGAGGTTTAAACCCACCAATAGGACCTAGGGTTGTCCCTTTGCCTCTGTATATAGTGGGCTGCTTGGCCCGTTGTAGTTAGTTCGAGTTGTGTCCAGTAAACCATGCTTTGTATCACACCATCTCTGTGATCTTTCATGCGTCAAACCCACTACACAACACATACCCAACTCTTTCAGCCTTTCCTCATAAGACTTGGATTCCAAAACTCTCACCATCCTGGTTGCCCTCCTCTGGACACGCTCGAGCTTGTCAACATCCT